TGTACTGCCAGCTTGTACTTGTACTGCCACTGCTGGGTTCTTCATTACAGAAAAAGAAGTTGGTGAACTCAGGCCATGTACTGATTATTGGATTATTGGCGTGTTAATGCAATAAGAGTGAAGTCTTATTATCTGTTATCTTCAGTATACACTGTCATCAAGTGATGAATATATTTACTAAAGTAGTCTCACAGGGGTCTTATAAATTGATTAGGCTTTGAGAGGAGAATGAATGGAAGACCATTAGGGGCACTATGAATATTATATAATGTTGTAGGGGCTAATTAAAGTCCTGTCCCTTGTTCAGGAAATATGCTTGATAATGCTTATATAGATGTCTTACTTATTTTATTCTCACAATCTTTAGGAACATGTGCCACATATATAATAAGAGAAGAGAAGAGGAGAGAAATGGTTAAAGAACTTCAAAGATTATGCTATAAAATTTTTATAGACATAAAATTTATATATCCAGTTCCATATGTGTAGCCCCAAAACTATAATTAATAAATAATGCTATGGCCCAAGTCCAGTTTCAGGTCCCCCACTACCTTTTATTATAGAAGCAGATGCTTTTGAAATTGGTCTGGACATTGTATTCTCCCAGCACCATGGGGCAACGTGTTATCTATGTCATTGTGCACACTCAGAAATAAAGGTACCAAACTGTACTTCTCCTTGGGGTGGGACCATCAAGGATACATCTTTTGCACCTTTAGTATGTATCTTTTACCTGGGAAGGTGCATGTGGTGTACTTTTAATTATCTTTTATAGCAATGCTTTAAAGGTATATCGGGGGTCCTTAAGGTCCAATTATGTAGCTTAAATTATTTTTAAAGGCAATATTATTAAACTGGAAGACTCCAGTTTGGTACCTTTATTACTGAGAGTGTGTATGCTTCTTCTGCAAGCTTATAACCACCAAGAAAAATTAAGATGTGAGAAATAAGGAGTTATTAGCTAGGAAATTGCCTTGTAAATGGTGGCCTGATTCACCGTATAGGCTTAATAGACTTAATAGACTCCAGCCTAGGGCTTAGTAAGTATAGGCAGTCTCACATTAACATGTAAAAAACATGTGTAAAAAACCTTTAACATACTGTACCATCTCATGTGATGGTAGGGTCAGAGTGGAGCGGGAGAGGGTGTACTATCAAATATAAAGTTTATTTAGTGTTAGTATATAATTTTAATTTAGCATTTAATCTAATTAATTAATTAGATAAATTAATCAACTAATTAATTAATAATTAAACTAATTAATTTCATGAACTAATGAGATAATTGATACAATTCTTAACTACTGGAAATATTAAGCAAATATAACAGAAGTGATCAGTGGAGGGAGAAAAATACAGTAACAGAAGAGCTCATTTTAACTTGCAGTCCAGTAACATCAGTGCTAAGTTCCTGTTTGTTAATTTTCTGCATTTCTCTAATAGGCTAATAAGCATTGAACTGTCATTTTCAGTGATTATTTGCTAGGCTACAACCTGGATCAAGATGCTTCCTGCTGTCCTGTTCATTATGCTTCAAAAGCATTCATTCATTCATTCATTCATCTAGGCCTGAATATCTGACAGCTTTGACTATGTGGGTACATTTGGCCAGTTCCCACATGGGGATTTTTTAAACAAACAAACAAACAAACAAACAAATAAATAAATAAAACTGAAGTTTTATTTTAAAATCTAAAAGGTTTATTGAGGTTAAGGTTAGGATTAGATTTAGTTGTAGCATAACATTAATTATCTGCATTAATAATTATCAATGGAATGTGTGTGTGTGTGTGTGTGTGTGTGTTGTCAGGTGACCTACAGCTGGAGCATATTGTGAGGTATAATGAGAGTGTACGGTTCACATGCTCACTCAGCAGCTTCTGCTCTGTTATCTGCTGCTTAATGCTGACTCAGCAACACACACACCAACACACACCATAGAATGATACACAGAGAGAGAGAGAGAGTTATGCTAGTGTTGCATTTTGGTTTTATGATGTAAAAATGTTTTGTTGCTGTTGTTTTTTAACAATTATCTCTGATTTTGTAAGGCTGAAGGCAATTTCCGTGTGTGCGTGAGTGTGTGTGTGTGTGTGTGTGCACGTAATTATAAGATAATTAAAATGTTTTGTTCATCATGGTCGTTTAGACTCAATATGACAAAATATTAAATATTAAATTTTTCCAAATCAAGAGACAGATTCTCAAAGATGTGACTGAATGTTTTATTAAAGCTGTCTCACAAGAACATATTTAAAAAATTTAATGTATCATTGTGTTTCTACTCCTCAGCACAGTGGGGTGTAAGAGTATATAGAACATTGTGAAATAGGTTTTATAAGGAATCTGAATCTGATGATGTAATGTTTTGTAATGTTTTATGATGTAATTCTTTATATGGGGACAAAAATGTAATCACATTTCTAAACTAATGATCCTGATACTATGCAACCATGTTGAAATGTAACCATGGCATTAAGCATAAATAATGTTTTAGGACAGACCTGTATTGTTTTAGTAGGAACATTATTTATGCAGAAAGGGATTATTTATAGGTTACTGTATATGGAAATGTTTTAATTAAAATATGTTTCAGTGTTCTTTACCTAGGACTTATCCATTATTTTCCGATATTAGGACATTTTGTTTGGGTATTATCGTTTACTTATACCTTGTTTTGAATAGCATCATCACCTCACACTTCCAGGGTCCCTGGTTCATCCTGAGCTCAGGTTATTGTCTGTATGGAATTTCTGTGCAAGTTTCCTCCTGGTTCTCCAGTTTCCTCCCAGCTAACTAAAAAAGCCAGTAGGTGGATTGGCTAAGATAAAGTGCATGTAGGTGTGAATGAGTGTGTGCATGGTGCCCTGTGACTGATTAGCGTTCCATCAAGGTATCCACCAAGGATACTCCAGTGGTCCAAGGACCCTGACCAGATTAAAGTGGTTGCTGAAAGTGAGTATATCTTGTTTTTTTTTTCTTGTTTTTCTTCAATTCTGCATGTTTTCAAGTCTGCTTTTTTATTTTGACATTTCATAATTACTCTGAATGATAATGAAGGCCTTTTTTTCTTATATACATAATTAGTAATGCTGGTACACTGTCATTATAACCCCTAAATCAGGTATTTGAGGAAAAGAAATTAAAGTAGTTCTTGCAGTACTTTCACTGTCTTATGCTTTGATCAAGTCATTGATAGCAAAAAGGACATACGCCTAATCAATTCAGTTTGTAAAGATTATAAATATCAGCTGACAAATGATCCACAGTGCAAACGTGAGTACTATAGAGATAACTGTGGGCAACTTGTAATATTTGAATTCTATTTTTTTTTTAATTGAAAGTTAGACAACAGAAGAAAACTCACTGAATTAATCAGCTATTATTTCAGCACTGTAAAAGACAGACAATGATCAGTCAAGTAAAGAGCTATGATGTAGCTCTGGTTGGTCAAATGCCATGACTGCATTTATTTCAGAAAATGAGATTTGAGAAACTGACATGGATGAGGCTTATGATCAAAGTGATCACTCATTTTTTCATCATAAACTTCTAATCTTTGATAAAGTGAATGGTCAAATTATTTTTTTAAATATTTTATTCATTACATGTTAAATTAAATGCAAATGAAATCATTTTAGACAGTAAGGTGACTGATGATGGCGAGGCACCCGAGATGTATCACACACATGGTGCTTCAACCTTATACTGAGGTTCTCTTGGCTATGTGTGTGTGCCCTTGCACTATGCTCTGAAGAACAAAACAGCCTTCATATCCCTGTTCTCTGCGTCTTGGTTTACACACCACACTGGGTTTTATATTCAGCACATGGTGTGAGATTTTCGAGCTTCAGATAAAGCACATAGACTCGGGCACTCGCGGAGAATTTGGAGTACAATTCATATACATATTCAAATAACACAGAGTGATTACATAACACAGTGGAAACAGTGTGTAAATCATCCATAAATCTTGATTACTAACAAGGCAGTTATTTTTACTCACCCAAGAACAAAAAGTCATTATTTATTGTGTCAGACAATTATGTCCTCCACTCAAGCAATCCTATCCATTTAAAAATTCAGTCTTCAGCAATGATCCAAACGAGTCCAAAAGTACCAGGAACTTGTTTTATTTTGCTTTATTTTATCTATCAAAAAGTAAATTTGCTTCTTTGATTTGCATTACAGTGCCCATTATTAAAATTGAAACATAATTGTAGCCCTTTGAGAAACATTCCTAAGAAACTGATGGATATCTAAATATCACACACAAGCATCATTTTCTTCAAACTTCACAACCTTCAAATGGTTGTGTTGGAATATGTGGGTGTTATGGGAAAACCAGCCGGATATTGTTATGGTTAGTTCTGTAAAACAATCAAAAAATTGACCAAAAAATTAAGTTATTTTTATTTTATTAAAAGCTGTCAGTCTGCCTAAAGATGTCTACAACCTGGCTAGCTCACAATTTGGTCAAGGTGTTGCATACACACTCTGTACAGATGACAGCGGACAAAGTTTTCAAACATTTAAATGACCCAATAAAAGGCATTTAAAACAAGAAATTCAGCCAACAGAACAGAACTGAGTGAATGAATCAGCGATTATTTCCACACCTATGTTAACGTGAACAGAGATCAGTCGAGTGAAGAGATGATGATGAGGAGCATGCTTGAATGCAGCGAGTGACTTTTACCTCAGGTGATGTGGCAGAGACTGGTGTAGATGATGCTGATAATTAAAGGGAGACCACATTTCCTATTATAAACTTATAATTGTTTACTTTTGGCAGAACAAGCAGGTAAGGTAAATTTGCAGAATAAAAAAGGTCATTTTGGCAGAATTGGGATGAATCTTTAGATGCAGTTTTTTCCCTTTTACTTTTGGGAATAACCAGATGTTAAAATGCTTGAACTTTACTTCACTGATACATGCAAAAGACTTTTGCGCTCTGGAAAGTCTGTAGTTTTCAGAACTATATATAGTAGAAAATGGGTTCCCTGGTGGACTAGTTGCTAGCATGTAGTGCTCTCATCACCACAGTCTGGGTTCGATTCTCGGTCAGGGATCCAACTCCAGCCACTGGAGGGTTGCACAAGCCAGTGCAATCTCAGTGCTGGTCCCAAGCCCGGAAAATGGGGAGGGTTGCATCAGGAAGGGCATCCGGTGTAAAACTTGTGCCAGAATCAAAATATGTGAACGTGTGATCCGCTGTGGCGACCCCAAACAGGAACAGCTGAAAGAATGGGGCGGGGGCGGGGGCGGGGGCGGGGGAGATATAGTAGAAAATGGCATCCCATCAGTGGTGTATTCCTGCCTCACACCCACTGTAGGCTCCAGATCCACTGCAACCAGTAAAAAGTGTCTAAGATATGGTAGAAAATGTAAAAATTTCACCATGTGAAGGGTTTTCCCAGGCCGCCATGGTAACGCGAGTATGCTTCTAATACAAAAGTCCATGTAAAGAATAAAGAATTCTAATAAAAAAGGAGTGACATCACCACAGGAGGAATGAACATACCAATATTTTTAGTGGAGATTGAGGTTTTCCCTTCTTACCCTTTCAGATTGTCACTGCTGATCAACTCAGCATTTTGTCACTCAGCCCAGTTATGTCATTTCCCCATTTTACAAGCACTTCTGCAAACTTTAGCCATGTTGTCATGGTGACCGGAGCCCCACTCCAGCAGTAATTGGGACTCTCTGTACTGAGTGGGTAACCTGTTAGCCCTCGGGATCAGACACCCCAATAGCACATTATGTGCCTCTCAACCGGCATGATTAGGGCACTTGACCCCCTTACTGCAGAGAAAGACAGATTGACTGAGAGAGACATAGAGGCAGGAAGAAAAGGAGCTCTCATATTTCCAAAAAAAACTTAATAAACAACAAAAAGCACAATAACAATAAGCTAAACAATAATGTGAGATATGAGTGCTTTATTATTATTATTATTATTATTATTATTATTATTATTATTGTTAAATGAAGAAAAAAGTAAAATAAAGAATTGGCTTTAAAACTTACATTAGATTTTTTTGATTACTGATTAAAGATAAACTTAAAAATACCAGCAAAGCATACAGATTTTGAAAAACGTGTGTTTAATTGTCATTTTATTGTGAAGTTTTCTGAGAGGAGACTTTTATTTAACATTTTTGAAAGGAGTCTCCAGTGTCAGCGCTTTATATCAGTCAGAGATGAAGCTGTAACTTTAAGTTTTCTGACCTAGGAAAGTCCCCAGGACAGAGGGTTTTGTGTTTTTTAGTCTTATTAAATACAAGAGAGAGAAGAAAAAATACAACATTAAACATCACTATAAAAAGAATGACATGTTGTTATTTAATGAGAGCACGAGTGACTCCCACTATCTATAAACATATAGAAAAAAATTTCCTCAATTTCTACATGCAATGAGCCCCAAAGAAACACTGCATTTTAAGTCATTACAAATGCAAGAGTTCAACCATGCAAAGAGTGCCCTTAGTCTGCTGGTTCTCAGGCTCACTAACCCTGTAACACACACTAACACAGAACATGGCCAGACCATCATCAATATAAACCCCAAACAGCTCAAAATAAAGTAAAAGCCAAAAGTCAGTGGAGTGTTATCAGGCTTTAAACAGAGACTATGCACTGGCTGAGTATCTTCTCACTGTCAGAGGTACAAAGCAGAGACAGATAATGAGCAGGTACAGGCTCAGTGCCCACAGCCTCGCCTTTGAAAAGGGCAGGCAGAGAAACAGCCAGCGGTCCAGAGAGGAGAGACGGTGTGTTCACTGCACCACAGGTAATGTTGAGACAGAAGATCATTTCCTTCTCTATTGTGAAACATGTAAAAACCCATGCCAAATTTTCACTGCACATTCCAAATACAATCATACAAAGCATTTCTTGCTCCTAGTTACAAATTCACATGTTATGGCCTGCATCTGTTATATTCTGTACTCTCTCTGTATGTTATATGTGTTGAGTACATTTCAAGTTTTCCAGAGATCCAGTCTATTGGCTATGATATCATCACTGCATGGCTATTTGAGTTGTCAACAATTTGACCTTGTTGGCTTAATGCTCATTACTTCATTTCTGATTGGTCTGTTTGTTTGTGAACCCTGCTCTTCCTCTTTGACTTTGTTAGATAGATTCTTATAGTGTTGTTGATTATGTGTATATGTTGATTTGGTCTGGGTCACACCTGAAGAAATAAAAACCCAGGTGTATTTGTTGCCATCTACCGATGTACAATATATTCCCATTTTGTCATTTACATCTGTGTGATGTTTTATATAGTATCCCTCATATACTCTCACCCATCCATAAAAGCTTCTCTTTATTTATCCATTCTGCTACAGCCTGTGACAGATCATCAGTGTTTCCAACTCTTTTCAGGGGAAAATAGCTAAGGAATACCAACAAGTCACCAAAAGTTGCCAGATGACATCAGAGACTAATTTGCATATCAATATGTGTTACATGAGGAAAGAGGATTTTCTGAAGACAGAATAGAATAGAATAGAATAGATTCAATTATTTGGAAATAAAAATCTGATTGGTGTTTGTGATTAATCTTTGGGAACAATGGTGATCAGTGATCAGTTATTGGTTGTTAGGAAACAATGGTGTTCAGTGAATAGTAAACAATGGTGATCAGTGATTGGTTGTTATGAAACAATGGTGATAAGTGTTTAGGAAACAATGGTGTTCAGTGAATAGTAAACAATGGTGATCAGTGATTGTTGGGAACAATGGTGATCAGTGATTGGTTGTTATGAAACAATGGTGATAAGTGTTTAGGAAACAATGGT